CACCACTCAATTGATCTTCCTCTAACAAGAGAAAAAGAATAGTTCCTTCGCCAAAGCCACAGAGCTTGAAAGAAACCATGATATTCCTATGGGGTAAGACCATCGGTACGTTGTTCGCCAACAGAGGACACCAATATCTGATGAGAGCCTCGTGGTGAATGGCACGACGGTGTCCCAGTGCCTTGGAGTAATGCGTGAGTAGCCTGTGTAGAAGGCGGATTGTAGGGAGATGCCTTGCTTGGCTGTCACAACCCATTCTTTCATTAATTAATCCAGCCATGTGAGACTTGACTCACTCCTGGGAGACAGAAGGTGGAGCCTTTCAAGATGCCTGATGAGGCCTTACCCTTTTACGGTTCCACTACCCAAACACCAGCACACTGGGCACCAAGTCTTCTACACATAAACCTCCAGAGGACAAACTGTATCCAAATTATAGCATCTGTTTATACAAAATCATGTACAACAGAATATCTAAATTCAGAGAGCCTGTTTCGAAGTCATCTTTAAAAGAGTTCTCCCAAAACATAATTTTACTTGTAATAACCCACATGCGCATCCAAGAAACGAAGAAGTACCAGTAGGAAGCTGATATATTCACCTATGACTTACTTATATAGCAGGGTGTAACATAAACATGGAAATAGGGATGAAATAGAAGCACCTGAGATGCTTGACTCTGAGAATACTCTTATATTCTCTGACCTATCACCCCACCCCCCAGAAGGGTTTATGCATCCCAGGCTGGTCTTGAACCTCCTGCTCCTCCTGGCTCCACCCTCCCCAAGTGCTGGGATTACAGAAGTACACCCCCACACTCAGCTCTCTCTGACCTACATTTTTTTTAAACAGCACTGGGTCTGCTTTATTTCCAACTCTTCCCCTCCAGCCTGCCTGGAGAATAGCATTAAAAGCAGAATGAAAAGGGGAGGACAGATGAAGCTGTGCTGTAGGAAAATGTAAACTGTATGCTTAGGAAAGGGTTTTCTTTCTTTTAACAATGTACTGGTGGTATTGCTGAGACCTATCCATGAAATGGAAAGATGAAACACAGGAGGGAGAAAAATCAAATACAGGAAAAAAGCAGGAAACACAACTGAGTACAGGGCTGCATTTGTGAATGAGTTATTAAAACAATATGAGTAATTATTGGTTATTTTTAGGTTCAATAAGGTGCCAAGATTGTCAAGATGGCCATTTGGGCTATGGTTCAAGACCATGAAAAGTGCTTAGCCTTCAGCTCAACAATGCCATTCCGAGTCAACTTTCCTGAAGAAATACACAGATCTAAAATAGACAAATAAATGGCTTTCTAAATTACGACGTGGCAGGAGGATATCACAAATGAAGATGAAAGCCTTCAGTACTCTGAGACTCAGAGAGAAAGCACTGCTCTGAGTGCCATACACCCAGCCTGATGCTCTTTGCTGCGCTCTGCCTTTATCTGTATCTGGGTCTGCCGAGTCTGGTCCAGAAAGAAACCTGTACACTGAGAAGTGGAAGGTCCTGTGGGACTGCTGTGCGGACACAGGGAAGTCACACCAGGAGCTGAATCTGGAATGGGGGGTAGCTGTCTCAGGGCAGCAGCCATTTTCTGTGACTGTGGGGTGGCATTTTCCCCCACCCCAGTACACACCAGTTCAGTGCTCCAAAGTCACTTTGATTCTGACATTATCTAGAGACACGATCGGATTCCATACATCAAAGATCATTTACCCCCTCAGTACCTCACTTAAGAGGCCAGTGGCCAGTCCTGGGTCAGTGACTTCACCTCCTGCTAACTCGAGTTCACAAAGCCTCTTCTTGGTCTCATTTAATTTGCTTGAGTTGCTTGAAGAATGAAGAATTCTCTCAGACTATTAATATAAAGGTTATTACAAAGAATACAGATGAACATCTAGATAAGAAGAAAACGGAGTATAAGGCATGGAGCTTCTTCTACACAGGCCCCAGGCTCCTCTATGTTTCAGTGTCCAGACATGCCCTGAGCCCAATCTTTGGGGTTCTTCATTGGATAGATGATATAACTAATTCAGCCATCCATCACTGCTGATCACCCCAAGTAGAGGTCAAAAGATGGGAACTGACAGTTCATGAAACCATTTCTCCTGGAAAATACACTGCCCTGTACACACACCTCCAGGCTATGCAGGAGCCCTAGTTAGAGCATCTTATTAATGAATTAAGCACGTTTACTCCATATGAGGTGGCAAGGTTTTCAGAATTGTCTATAGGGAATGGAGATACAGACCAAATACGTATTCCACAATACCATGGTGCTAAATGTCGTGGTGGGCTTCATCAGCCTTAGGTCAGTGGTACATGAAGGAAGCTTAAACAGGAAAATGATTATTGGAAATTTTAAAAATACTTTTCTGCACACACTGTGGAAAGTGGGTTGCAGAAAGAACTTGGGAAACTGAAGATTGAAAATATGGCAATTTAACTTAGATTGTTAGGGGTTAGATGAAAATTGGTTGTTTAAACTCCATGCAGAATTTACTCTATTTGATGAAAATAAGACATTATGGCTATAATATTTTATTGTTTAGGTTAATAAATTTATTTAGTTTCTGATACTGGGTCTCACTATATAGCCCTTACTGATCTGGACTTGGCTCTATCAAACAGACTGGCCTCCAGCTCACAGAAATCTGACTGCCTATGCCTCTCAAGTGCTAGATTAAAGGCGTGTACCATCAAACTCAGTGACTCTGGGTCTTTAAAAAAAAATAATTTAACTTAGTCACATCTTGAAAGCAAAATTCTAACATAAAAAGGAAAGTAATTTTTCGTAAAAAGTGGAAAACCAAGTGAGAAATCTGACAAAAAATTCCCCACATGTTACAGAAAAGTCTTTCTCTTGCCCTATGTTTAACATCCTAGTATTATTCAAATAAACTGAAACAGACTTCCTAAGAGGTCACACCTCAGAATGACCCACAGGGTTTATTTCCTGTTAGATCCCCCTCGCTGTTGTTCTGCTCTATAACTCTGTTTGAATACAGTTCAGCAATGACTCACTCATGTCAGGCTGCCAGGAGTCTTTTCCTATTGAGAAAGTGACATGTACTTCACGTACTGCAGCGGGCACACAATCGAAAGCTTTGCTCAGATTGCCCCCAATTATCTTATTCGCTTCTCAAAAATGTCACCCTTCCTTTTAAAAATCAGGAAGAGGCCAAAGCCTAAATGCCATGACAAAGAGTGAAAGTTAATTGCAAACATCAAAGGGACATTAGTGAGGCATTACCTTGACCTGCCTTTGGGGGACCTGGGTTCCTTCGATGAGGCCCACTGCCTGAGATCTGTGTAGGCTTGCCCTAGTGTGCAGGGTGAGTCACAGTCATCCATGCCCAACAAGCTTCAGTAGCTACCATGGCCCAGCACAACACGTTCTTGCTTTGTGGTTCCTGAGCCTTAAGACATCAGCAAGGTTTCAGTCAAAGACCTTTGCTTCACCAAGATAGTCCCACCTTTAGCCTGTGTTGTGTTCATCTCCTCCTTACGGCTCAGATATAAAGCCCTTGAAGAGCTAAGCTGAGGTAATGACAATAGCTGACATTATAAATCCATCATATGTGAATTTATACAATCTTTATAAGAATCCAATTAGATACGTAAAGAAGATACCTTTTGCACAGATAAAGTAACAATGCCATATCTTGATAAAGCCACACTAGAGCTAGTCAATGGTGAGGTTCAGATTTGAACTCTTGCCACTGACCATCACACAATAGTTCTAAAGCCTATAGTTTTAGTCATTGTACTACAAACCTTCTTGGCTTCATTTTTTTTTTTTTGGTGCAACTTATGGCTTTGCTCACTAGACATTTTTCTAGATTTCTAGTCTGGCATGAAAATCAGCTCCTAATAGACACAGCAGATCCCAGCATAAGAGCAATAACCCCAGCCTAAGCTAAAACTGGTCTCTACATTTCCAAACTAGTGACGACAGCAAGCCCAAAGTTCTTCCTTGCTCTTGCTGCATTTTTACGGAGTCCAACTGATGATTTAACTCTGCTTTGCCTAATAATACCGGTTTCATAGAGAATATTTTCTTCAGCTAAGAATAAGTGACAGCAAAGAACCAATAAGGAAATATCTCTCTCTTCATTGAGTCGGTAACAATAATGGAAGGAAGTCCTCTTTTCTACTCAAGTTATAAATGGATACTAGGCTGAAAGCCAGGACCACACATTAGCACAATTCAAATTCTCCAGCCACTGTTCAAGATCTATTTTCATCTGGAGACAGTTTGCCAACCCCAAATCACAGGATCTTCTCTTGAACTATCCCCTGGAACTTTCTCACTTCTGTATGGGCCGCACATCTTCTCTGGAAAGTATATCCATTTGCCTCCACAGTCATCCTCTGCAGTCTTGAAAAAGACACCAAAAAGACTTGAGTCAGCAAAACATGCCCCACCTGGTTTCGCAGATATCCAACCTCCATCACTTACATTTTAGTCTTCATATTCTATCCCAAATAATCTGCAAAATGCAAGTCTATGCCAGATATATATATATATATATATATATATATATATATATATAACCTTACAAGACTCTCCACTGATCTCAAGTACAACATTTCAACATCCTATCAGTTCTTTAGCCCTGATAACTTTCAAAACTCATCTTTCATACTCTTTCCCAAAAGTGGTCTGTAGCGGTTTGAATGAGATTGGCCCCCAATAGGCTCATATGTTTGAAGACTTGGTTGGTGGAACTGTTTGAGAAAGATTAGAGGCATGGCCTTGCTGAGGGAGGTGTGTCATTGGAGATGGGATTCAAGCTTTCTCTCTCTGTCCCATGGTTGTTATCTCAACACACATGCTCTCAGCTACTTCTCCAGAACCACACATGCCTGCCTACCTGTTGCTCTATTCCCTGCTACAATGGCCACGGCCTCACCCTCTGAACTGTAAGCAAGCCCCCAGTTAACTGTTTCCTTGTATTAGTTGCCTTGGTCACGGTGTCTCGTCACAGCAATAAACAGTAACTAGGACATGGCCCTTCACTCTCTTCCATCCAACCACTCAGAAACTCTTTGATTCACTAAGGTAATGTTACCTTTGTTCTTTCTTACTGGTGTTTTCCCCTCTTTTTTTCTGACACACCCCACTATCGCTTCTCCTTTGTAGGGTGGCCCCTCTGTATTTCGTGTGCTTCCTTTCCACCCAGCCTTTCCCCATTGCTTTCACAGACGGCTGGGTTCTAATTATTATTGCTTATGCAGCTTGTATCTCTGGCTAAACTGTAAGCTGCTTGGGAACAGAAACTGCTTTGTTTTGATCACTATTGTATTCCTAGCACCCACCCATTTTAGTGCCTGGAAAATAATAGGCACTTAGTAACCATTTGTTGAATGAATGAGCACACTAAATTTGACACATGATGAGTTCAATAGCTTCCCATGGGTCTATCTGATAGAAAAACTTTCAAATTAAGTTCCTGAATAGTTCGTTAATAATTTAAGAATTTGGTCCGATTTGCTTATTTAGTTATTTATTCAGATGTGAAATGCATTTTTTTACACAATCATCTCTTCCTTCCCTCTACATGAACTATTTCTTCTACTTTATACTCAATCATGCAGAAATAAAGAGCAAAACTATGGTATCGGTAGAGAAGGGAGAGGGAGGCACCGTGGGAAAATGATATGTTACTTTATATAGTGTTAACAAAGGACTTTGTATGTATTGAGTGCTTAAATACCAAGTACCTTGAACTTCGCTGGACTCCTAAAATCTGGACTGATTTTCCTGATGAATGACAAAAGCTCTTCAAAGTAGGCTGAGTGCGGTGTCCCTGCTAAAAATGCAGATACTTCCGTCTGGCAGAATTGAAATTAAATATTTGCTTTCGTTTGATGATTTCTAGCACACTGGTAGGAAAAAAAATATGCAATCTTTTGCTAGTGAATTTCAGACACACAGAGTAGTTTCTGAAGCACTGGTAGTCTTACAAATGGCTTGGAAATTATACTGGCGTCTTTCCGAGAGGACTCTAGGTAGAGTCCACTATGCTGAGTGGGGAGCTAGGAGCAGTACAGAAGCCAGCGGAGTTGGGTAGACCTGAGGCAAACATTGTCAAGGCACTGTTTGGGGGATATTGAGCTTGGGACTAGTACTGAAATCTCGAGCTCTGCATAAACTTCCAGCTCAAGTGGGATGGGTTGAAATATCTACAAATGAAAATACAACTTGAAATAAAAACTCATTAATTAGCTAAGTAGTAAACACAACCAAGGAGAAAATTAGTGGCCATATATCTTGAGATATTTTAGGAATTATAAAGACTGTATAGGCAAAGAGCCAAAGATGAAAAAAATATGAAGGCAGTATAGAGGAAAAGACCAACAAATGAAAGACTTAGATTTCCAGAATGAGAGAATGGAAAAAAAATGTCATAAGAGGCATAAGAGGATTTTTTAAATGGCTGGAGTACTCCAATTTGTACTAATGCTACAGTCACATGCATGCAGGTGTATGCACCGAGAGATAGGCACGTGGGGCTCACAGATTGAAGGGTATCTTTCTCTCTCTTTCTCTCTCCATTGTATTTATTTATATACGGTCTCTCACCGAATCCAAAGTTTCCTGTTTTGGGTAGCATCACTGGTCAGCAAGTCCACCTGTCTCTGTTTGTGTCCCCCTCCCAGGACAGGGATTACATGCAAGTGCTGCTGCACCCAGTTTTACATGTGTGCAGGGATCCGAACTCAGATCCCCGTGCTTGCACGGCAAGCACTTTCCCTGCAAAACCATCTTCCCAGACCAAACATTACAATTTATGAAACTCTAAAAGCATGAAAGTACACAGATTTAGACATTGCGATGTATTCCTAACACACAAAATTAGAGACACATTAGTCCACATCTGGAAACATGAAGTTACACACAAAAGAAAAGCAGAATGATAGTAACAGCTGCAGTTACATTGGAAGAGAATCCTGTAATCTCTTCAAATAGTTGAATGGAACACTAAAGGGACAGGTAGACAGGCAGGAAGACAGTCAGAGAGATACAATATTAGTCCAGAAACAGTCTGAGATACAAGAAGAGTGGTGAGCAAGTAAATCTGGCAGGTGTGTGTAAATCAGGCAAACCTGACGATATAATAGCATGAAAATAGCAATGTTGACATTTGAGCTAAAGAAAGAATATAATTAAAAACCAGACCAAAGTAGAATATAAGTTTATTGGTTATTATAGATAAGGTATTGTAGAATTTGAATTTTTCTCAGAAAAGATAAAAATATTAATTTTGATGTCTGGTAATGGTCTTCTATGCTATTCAGATAATATTCTACTAGGAAGAGAGAAAAAATGTCACACAAATTCCAAGTAAAACTATATGTGTAGGTGTGTCTGTAAGATGTGTATGGTATGAATGGTGAGTGTATGTGTGTGTGATATACATGTGATTTGCATGCCCATAGGTACGTATGCAGAGCCCAGAAAGAGTCCTCAGGTGTCTTCTATTACTCCAGTTTATCGCCTGGAGGCAGGGTCTCTCACCGAACCGAAAGGTCTTTGTTTTGAACAGACTTTCTGCCCAGTGAGCTCTCCTATCTGCCTGTCTTTTCCCCCAACACTGGAGTTATAGACATCTGCAGCCATGTCCAGCTCTTACCATGGGTGCTGGAGAGCTGAACTTAGGTCTTCAGACCTGCAAGCTTTCAAAGCAAGCACTCATACACACTGAGCTATCTCTAGTAAAACTACTCTTCAAATACCAAGTGTCTTTGCAAACGCTTGCAAACTTACAGAAGTTTTTATTTTTTTAAATATTTATTTATTTATTATGTATACAATATTCTGTCTATGTGTATGCCTGCAGGCCAGAAGAGGACACCAGACCCCATTACAGATGGTTGTGAGCCACCATGTGGTTGCTGGGAATTGAACTCAGGACCTTTGAAAGAGTAGGCAATGCTCTTAACCTCTGAGCCATCTCTCCAGCCCTCACGGAAGTTTTTAGAAGGAAGTTTCAGACCAGAGAGATTAAGAAAGTTATAGCACCAAATCTGCAGGAGCTGGAAGAAGCATGAAGTAAACATGTACTAAGTAACAAAGTCAAGAAAACCCATGGAAACAGCGAGAAATGGAATTGTGTTTACTCATGCACTAAGTGTTTACTATAAATCTACTATGAGGAGACACAGCTTTAGAAGGCCTACACTGTTTAAGAGTTGCAGGAATGAAACCAAACAGACATCACAATAATCAATCAATCACAGGCTTTGAAATTCTACTCAACCTTGTTTAAGGAAAGAACTCATGTTCATGAAAACAGAAACTCCTGAAAAGTAGGGCACAGATGTGAGGACAAACCAAACAGACCATCTGTCTTAGTCAGGGTTTCTATTGCTGCGACCAAACACCGTGACCGAAGGGCAAGCTGGGGAGGAAAGGGTTTATTTGGCTTATACAGCATTACTGTTCATCCCTCAAGGAAACCAGCACAGGAACTCAAATAGAGCAAGATCCTGGATCAGGAGCTGATAGAGAGACCATGGAAGGGATACTACTTACTGGCTTGAATCCCCTGGCATGCTCAGTCTGTCTTCTGGTGGAACCTAGGACCACCAGCCCAGAGATAGCCCCACCCACCATGAGGCCTTCCCTATTGATTGCTCATTGAGAAAATGCCTTACAGCTGGATCTCATGGAGGCATTTCCTCAACTGAGATTCTTTCCTCTCTAATGACTCTAGCTTGTGTCAAGTTGACACACAAAGCCAGCCAGTGCTCCATCTATGAAAGAAAATTCAATACAAGAAACTTTAAGCTCAATGGACAGGTACTCATAGACACAGCGGGGGGAGAAAAACACTGGTAAATTAGAAGACAGCAAAACAAGTTATCCATAAGACCACACAGAGAGACAATGCGTAGAATAGGCCCACAGGACAGCTGTGGAGGAGGCAGTGACAACTTACACTGTGTCTGACTGGAGAGTCGCCAAAAAGGAAAGCAAATGAGTACGCAGCTCAGTGCTAGAGCAGCTACAGGCTGGGACTGTCACAAACTTAGAAAAGAGTATTCAGCATAAATTCCAGAGATTGAAGACATCCCAGGAAACAGGTTGTTCGTCTCACTCAGATATGTCATAGTGAAATACGAAAAGCCAAAACAAATGATATTTCAACACTAGTAAGGACCTCTTGTTCAAGGAGCAACAATTACTCTGATGCTAACTTCTCTTCATGGTGATGCAGGAAGTCGTCAACAGGACTTTTAGAAGAGCGAAGGTGAGAGTCCTCACCACCGGTTTGCAAAAACAGGAAGTTGTAGTGGACGCAGTTTAGCCACAGAGCACACTCTCTCAAATGAATACATATTTTTTGCAGCCAAAAAAAATTGGGAAAACACAGAAATTAGCAAATACATGAGTAAATTTAAAAGTCCTCTGTATAAAAAGTGACGGTATCTTATTGTTGAAAAAATACATTAAAACTCTATACAGTAATCCACAAAGAGGAGGCACAGGTGCTAAATGCCATTTCAGTGCTAAGGGTCCCAACTTCTATATCAGCCATTTATAAACTAATGGAGTAAAATAAATTTTGAAAATTAAAATTTATATAAGAAAGGGAATCCACACAGCTGGTACAAAGAAAAAGTACAACATACAGTGGCAAAAATAAATAATGACCATGATATGCAAAAATAACTAGAGTGCAAAGTTACAGACAGGTTAAAAGTTACATATTTGGAAAAGATTCACCAAGCAAAGTCTAAAAAGAAAGCCAGAATAACCACATAAACAAAATCATCTTTGTTAAAAGCAATAATGAGAAAGAAAGCCAAACTGGTAAAATCTTTGTTGCACGGTTTTGCAAGTAAATAATATTTTGGTCTCAAAATTAATAATCTATAAATAAAAATAATTCTGTTTTTCTTTTCAAATCATTATACCCTTTGGCTTAGTTTTAGTTCTTACATATACTATAATATCCAGTTGAGTGTTTTATGAAGGAGGTAGTCATATATCTTATGTTTGACTTAGTCTTGTCAAACACAAGCCTTGGAAATGTCACCATGATGATGGTGGAG